CACAATTGACATTGAATAGTCCTTTTTGCCTAAAAATTTAACATCATCAATTTAGAGAGAAAAGAAAAAAAGATAAAGTAAATGAACAACATCTTGTACATGTTGAAAAACAATGTACCTTCTTTTTAGGCTGGCCCTTGGTATTGGGTATATTCTTCCTCTTCTCAGACTGCTCAGATGGAACAGCTCCACCAGTACACTGCCTCTTGTTATGTCCTTTAAGGCCGCATTCTGAACACTTGTAGGTCATTGTGCCAGTCCGAGACAGAACCTTAACATCACCTTTTTTCTTTACACGCATTTCCCTTAACTCTTCCTTAATCTTCTTTCTAGATTTTGGAGGTCGTCCAGCTAGAACAATTTTGTCAGGAGGCATAATATCTGGTTTCTTCGTCTTTTTCCACATTTCTTCACCATTTGTGGGATAAATGACGTACTTGTAAGCAGTTTCATAAGCTGTCTTCGAGTAATAATTGTGCACATAAGCTTCAACGGACTCCTTAGTATGACCAATTATTGCAATTACGTGATGGCAAGGTATGCCTATCAACATCCACCTTCTGCACGAGCAAGTTCTAGCCCTTAGATCCACTGTGAACTGTTCACCACACTTAGTACTTACTTGATAATGCCATTCTCCAGCATCTACTGCCCAGCACTCACCTGTTCTCTCCTTTAATTTTTCCAGCTTCTTCCTTATTTTTGGGCCAACAACATCAACCAGTTTAGCAGCAGCTTCCCTCTTCTGACGGTGTCTCTCCATAAGATACAAAAAGATCCATTTTAGCAAGGCCAGTAAGGCCTTTTCCCTAGCAGGAAGCAATACCTTGTTTATGCACTCGGAGATATTGTTCACCAAAATGTCACACTTCGCATGATACTTGAAATGTGACCTTGTCCAGTTCTTAGGGTTTGTGTTGCTCCTCAACCAATCGATAGCCTGGGGCTCTAGAACTCTCAATTGCTCGATGATGGTCTTGTACCTTGCAGGATAAGTTGCTCTAGTTGCAGCCCACAACAAGTCTTTCAACACTGAGCTTCCAAATGCCTTTTTGAAATTGTTGTGCATATGCCACACACACATTCTGTGCTCAGCACCGAGAAGACATGTTTTTACTGCCTTAATCAATCCCTACAACAAAGCAAATGATTAGTAAACCTAAAACCCCAAAACAGTACATTAGCAAATGCATACAAACAATACACATGTCCTAAACCTAAAACCCTTTAAAAACAGTACATTAGCAAATGCATACGAACAGTACACAGGTCCTAAACCTAAAACCCTTTAAAAAGTAATTGAAAAAACACACCTTTTGCTTGTCACTAATAATCGTCCATTTGCTTGGATCCTTGATGTCCAAATCAATTTGGAGGTTCCTGACAAACCAAGTCCAGGTGTATGTATTCTCGGTCAGCACCACAGCATATGCAATAAGGTATTCTAGTCATTCGGGTCAATGCCAATTGCAGTCAGCAAAATGCCCTTGGTAGATCCCTTCAAGTGGCATCCATCAAGGCCAACGATTGGCCTACAGGCTTCTTTGTAACCCCTTTTAGACGCGTCCAGGCATATATAAATGCCTTTGAATTTTTCAGTACCATCTGGCAGATCTTCCGTATCCAAATCAATTGTAGAGCCTGGGTCTGTTCTCAACAACTCAGCTTTATAATCGTAAAGTCGTTTGTACTGACTTACAATATTACCTTCAATCATTTCAATTGCTAAATTCTTCACTCTTTCTGCCTTGCCTCTGTGAACATACATAGTCATCTTTGTATTAAGTTTCTCCTGCAGTTGAGTCACCGTTGTCTGGGGACATATACGAATATCCTCCATGAACAGCCTTGCAAGATACTTTGAACTAGCACACCCATGGTTGTGATTCCTACCACCACAACCGTGTTTCCTGTTAAGGCAGGAAACATTCCAGCAACACTTTTTCGACCTGTTACGAATAATGACATGCCAATTGCAGTTACGTTCAGCACTTCTACACACTGCGTAGCACCTGACTTTATCATCCTTCTTGAAACGTATCTGTTTCCCCAGCTTCACACCTTGATGCTTGCACAAATCTTTGAACTCCTCCTTCGTAGAAAACCTCAACCCAATTTCCCACTTTGGGTTATCATAATCTGTATTTTTGTTGTACCTTCTAAACATTGGTCTTCGTGTTCCATCAGATTCACACTCAGTTTCTTCACCACTGAAAAGTTCTTCGGACTCACCTGAACTCTCCAACTCTTCATCATATGCAACAAATTCAGGTTGTAGTTTGAACTCAGGTTCCTTTAAAATCTCATCCCAAACTTTTGCCATCTCTTTAATGATAATTTCTTTCTCTTTTGTATCCAGGTCATAGTCACTGTCGTGGAATTCAGCATTTCCATTTGGCTCTACCTCTTTTGCCCTGATCTTCTCCAGCATTTCAGCAAGGGTATCATCATCAGAATTATACTCTGTACATGTTCTGACCACTTTCTTCTTATTCTTCTTTTTCTTCCCTTTTCCCTTTCCTCCTTCACTGTTGCAGTCTTTTACTGAACCAGTTGCTGTTTGCACTGCTTCTTCAGAACCACTGGTGTTGCGTTGTTTTTTTGAACAAGTGTTGACCTCAGCTGCTGCTTCAAGTTGGTCACTGTTGCACTCTTTATCTGAACCAGGTTCTGCATGCTCTGCTGCTGTTGCATTACCTTCACTGTTGTATGTTTTTTCATAAACAATGTTCACCTCAACTGTTTTTCATCACCAGCACACTTGGACTCTCTTCTGATCCAATTTCTTCATCGTCTCCTTCTTTATCACAACCAGCACCCACACCAGTATTTTCCTTATCTGTTCTCCTCAGAATCTGTACATCTGGTCCTTCATCACAATCTATACTCTCCAGAATTTGTACATCAGGACCAGAACCAATATTGTTCTTCTTTTTTGCTTTCAGTTTCTTGTTTTCCTTCGTCTTAAAAGCATCCGTCTTTTGTCTTGGTTTTGGCCATGGACCATTTAGAAGCTTATTTACCATACTTGGGGTTAGAACTTCCCGTGTAAGCTGACTATCAACCGGGTCATCTTCATCATCAGAAAGTTCACCGTCTTCATTTGGGTGCACCACAAACAGATCAACCAAACCATGCTCTAATCCAATTGCAGCCATGGTATTTGCAGAATCATTGGAAGACAGCAGCGCCAATCCTTCGTCCATATCCTTTCCATGTTTCAGGAAATAATAACTTAGGTCACCAGGAATTTTCATATCCTCATGAAGAAATGCATCCACTTTTATTTTTGACCAGTAATCTGCATTGCATTTCCGCATGGCGGTGACATATCCACCTCTGTACAATCTTCCAGGTGACTAGGTTAGAAATCCATTAAAATGGACCCGCACAGTGAAGAAATTATCTGCACAAAACCCACACAAATGTCAGCAACTATTTTGGTCCAATACTTTTTAGCAGCAACTATTTTTGTCCTATACATTTTTGCAGCAACTATTATGGTCCTATACAAATTCAGTAGAAACTATTTTAGTTTTATTCAATTATTGAATCCATTTTGACACTGCACTTTCATCAATGCACGAATAAGACAAATTAACAGTACACATCAACTTAAATGCACAAGTTCAAAGACAGAAAAAAAGTGTATTCACAATCAATTGACCTGCTGTAATTTAAAAATCGATTTTCCTTCTCCAACAAATAAAAGAATAAAAAATATTTCAACCTACATCTGCGGCATGAAGTTTGACAACGATTAAAAATTGCATAAGGAAGATAATTTTGTGAAGAAAACTTTATCACATTTCCCTTATAAGTTTCAGACAAGGACCCATATAATAAACAATGCTACCAAAAAGTTCCAACTTTGAATCTATTCATGCGACCAAAACAGGACCCATACAATAAACAACTCAATAAACAACTCTTCTGCTTCTCTTTCGACAGACATAGAGACAAAGAACAAATTATTGACATACAAATATCAAGTTTTACACCCTAAACTCACCTGTATTATAGTCTGGTTGGATGCTTCGGATATTAGATTTCGTTCGCCACATTTTTTCACCTAATGAACTCCGATTTCCCCGATTTGCAGAAACCCAGATTTAATCGACCACTCACACTCCGATTATAGTCCATCTCATTATGATTCAGGGTTTGGTTCTTTTTTCAGATCTGATGAAATAGAGTTTTGATTTTCGCAAAAGTGATAACTCTGAAATGGAGTTTGAAAGTTCCAAAAGTTGTTGCAAAAAAGGCCCGAAAAATATGTTAAGTACTTCCCCAAAAAGAATAATAATAATTTTTTACATTTCAGTTACTGTAGTAAAGCAGTAAAAAAAGTTTTACGCAGCCTTTGCAACTTTACTTCAGTCAATTTCCTTTTTTTTTTTTCAAATTTTGAATTTTTTTGAATTTTGAAAATTTTTAATATTTTATAAAAAATTTTACTGTTCACAGTGGTAAATGATAAAAAAATTCATTTATTGCGGCCCCACCCGATTAAATTGATGAAAATTTTATTTTTGTTTTTTTGAAATTTATAAATATTTTTAATTATTATTTTATTTCTTAAATACTTGAAAACCGTAAGAGGAACGAAAAGACAATAATACCCTCCATTTTCACGGTCAAATAGACGGAAAGTTAAGTTGGGACGTAAATAGTCAAAAATTGGCTCTTTTTGGATGAAATGGGACATGAATGAGCATTTTCAAATGCACGGGAAGAAAATGATTATTCGACCAAATGTACAGGATGTTTTATGCGGTTTAGTCATTGTAAAATTAACATAAGAATCGAATAAATCGAAATATCTATTTATCAAATTTATAATAATTTTTAGATGATACAAATAAAATAAATTCAATTTTAAGGTATATGCATTTATAAAATTGTGAGGTTTACTGGTTGACTAAATGTTACACCAAGTCAAAGGTTGAAGACAAAAAATTCTTTTATTTTTTCATTAAAAAATTGCAGGTAGCGGAAAGGGCGCACGCAGTCACACAGAAAGAGTGTCAATGAGATATTCTCCCAAAATAAGAATAAGAAATTGGGGAAATCCCAAACCCTAAAACGCTCTCAATTTCTCGTCATTGCCGTCATCTTCAATAACACACCCCGTCGCCGTGCCGCCGGCGGTAAGTCCTCTCCTCCGCCAAGATCACGGCCGTTCTTCTACGATCTGTTTTTCCTTGCATTCTCTTCTTGCACGCATAAAGTACTCATGGTTTTTTCTTTTTCAAGATTTTTTCGTTTAAATTGATTTTTGAATATTCCTTCGGAGTAGAGGTTCTTGTTGCAATTGGATGTTTTTAATTCATGTGTTGAATCGATCTTTGGATCCTCGGGGATTGGGTAGTAAACTCAATTACGAGATTGGTTCCTTTTTTACATTGAACTTGATACATGTGATTAAATAGGATTAATTAGGGAGAAAACTTGGAGTTTGAATGTGAGTGGAGGTTACCTCTACTGGGATTTTTATCGCACATGCTTTAAAACTTCTGTGTGGAGATACCAAAGTTAAAACTGGCACTCCCTCCATTCACAAATAGATGTTTTTGGAGCAAAAACCAAATATTCCAAAATAGATGTTGTTCTCACAAATTGATACATGTTTTTCCAATTTTTTCCAATACTGCCTTTACATGGGAAATTGTAGTAATGTTTAATGTAGAATGATATTAGAACGAAATGTTATTGGGACTACAATTATACTAAGAGTAAATGGGGGGTATTATAGTATTTTAACAAGATAATTATTGTCTCCTTAAACTTTGTGAAATCTCTCTAGCGACATCTATTTGTGAACGGAGGGAGTATTATTTACGAGATGCTGTTGTGGAGAAATTGAGGATATGGCTGCTGATATTGATCCGCAAAAGGCTTTATGTTGGATATATATATGCTCAGTAGTTACATTGCATTGCATTGCATTTATGTCCCTTTGTTGGTTGTTGCGGTGAAGTGTTGAGAAATTAGGGAATTTTTGTTTTTTTCCAGCTATTAAGTATTCAAGACAAACAGTCTTACGATGTTGAGTTGTTAACATTGAGCAATGCTATTGTTTTGCAAATATAACTTAAACCTCTTTTGTCTGGTCAATAACCAGGGGATATGTTGAATGAGTGAGTGAGTACATTGGGGGTGGGAAAATTGAATTTTGGCCACTTTTTCTGGGTTAAGATACAGGGATTAAGTCGTCTTATGAAAATGAGGTGTCTAGATACTTCTGAATCTGGTATTGCTGCACTAGTAACATGAAGAAACAACAAAAAGTATCCTCTGCTGTTTGTTTTCTGTTGCTACACTTGTTCTGAAGTATGTATTGGACTCTAGGGTGGTTATGTCCTTGCACTGTACCTGTTCTTTGTTTGGTTGTGTGCTTTTGTTTATTTAAGTTTTAACTGTTTAAATTTTTTTGATACTGTTTCATTGATGTTTATAGTTTTTTGCCTTTTTTTGTGTGTTTCAGAGTCTGTATTTGGATACTTGAAATGGATGATAATGATAAGGCAGTAGAGAACTCTAATCCCACTTCTGATAATACTACTTCTGAGAATGATTCAGAGATATCAATTGATTCGCTGGCACGAAAAGTACAAGAATCTCTTTCTCTTGCTAAGAGGCATAAGTTTTGGGAGACTCAACCTGTAGGTCAGTTTAAAGATCTTGGGGATTCTAGCTTGCCTGAAGGCCAAATTGAGGCACCAACACCTTTGTCTGAAGTTAAACAGGAGCCTTATAACCTTCCAAGTCAATATGAATGGATTACCTGTGATATGGAATCTGACGATATGTGTAATGAGGTGTATTCCTTATTGACTAATAATTATGTGGAGGATGATGAGAACATGTTCAGGTTCAACTACTCGAAGGAGTTTCTTCAATGGGCACTTCGGCCTCCAGGATATTTTAAAAGCTGGCACATCGGAGTGAGAGCTAAGAGCTCCAAAAAGCTAGTTGCTTTTATCACTGGAATTCCAGCTAGAATTCGGGTCCGTGATACGGTTGTGACCATGGCAGAAATTAATTTTCTCTGCGTCCACAAGAAACTTAGGTCCAAACGACTTGCTCCGGTGATGATCAAAGAAGTAACTAGAAGAGTTCATTTGGAAAATATCTGGCAAGCTGCCTACACCGCTGGGGTGGTTCTTCCGACACCCATAACAACTTGTCAGTACTGGCATAGATCTTTAAATCCAAAGAAGCTTATTGATGTGGGATTTTCAAGGTTGGGTCCAAGGATGACAATGAGCCGTACCATAAAACTGTACAAGTTACCAGATCAAACTGCAACTCCTGGTTTCCGAAAGATGGAGCCTCATGATGTTCCTGCTGTTACTCGGTTACTCCGCAATTATTTGAAACAGTTTGTTGTTTCTCCGGACTTTGATGAAAATGATGTAGAGCACTGGCTTCTCCCCAAGGAAGATGTTGTGGACAGTTTCCTAGTTGAAAGCCCAGAAACTCATGAGATTACCGACTTCTGCAGCTTTTACACACTTCCATCTTCTATTCTAGGTAGCCAGAATTACTCTACGCTGAAGGCTGCATATTCTTATTACAATGTGTCGACTAAAACTCCGTTAACTCAGCTGATGAATGATGCTCTCATTGTGGCGAAGCGAAAAGATTTTGATGTCTTCAATGCTTTAGATGTCATGCATAATGATACTTTCTTGAAAGAACTGAAATTTGGCCCTGGTGATGGGAAGCTGCATTATTATCTCTACAACTACCGAGTAAGAAACGTTTTAAGGGCATCTGAGCTTGGCCTGGTACTCCTGTAGCATGAGCAAGCATGGTTGATTCTTCTTTTTGCCGGAAGAGACTTGTTTGTTACCGAGTGCCATTTTTTCCCTAAATTTATGATTGCACTGACAGTGCAGTTCTGTACTAGTACCTGTTGACTACGAAAGTAATTAATGTTAAGGTTCCCGGGCTTCATTGTGACTGAACTATCTATAACACTCCGGGATTTTGGATTGGCTTTTCTTGTGTTCATTGTCATGTTTTCTTTGCCTTGGATCAGGATGGTGAAGAATGTCTTATATCTTTAGATTCCAGTCTGTGTCAGTGTAGATGAACTGCCATTCTTTTTGCTTGAATTCAGTGTCAGACCATACTCTGGTTCAACGGGCATGCTCTGAAACAGGGCACACATAATTCAGATCTCTGTGATCCCCCTTGATGTCTCTGGCTTACACATTGTTTCTTTGTTTCCGTTTACAGTGGACTTTTAGATGTTACCATACCTACTACACCTACCAGAAGATATGAAAAAGATTGCTGTCCCACCAAAAGTGTTTGTACAAACTATCTAGGAGTCTATTTGAATTCACCTAAAACCTGGAATCTTAAGTTCATACAAAGTGATGAAAAAAAAATGATCGAATGCCATATCATCAAGTTTGCATGATTTGAATTGCATTTGTCAGTTAGATAATTTTAGAATAGTAAAAGTGCCTCGAGATGTTGAAGAAAGCGCACATAGGTTAGCGAAGTCAGTCTAGCGACAAGTTTGGGTCTGTAACTTTCTTATGTTTATGAATGAATTATAATGTTTTCGGAAAAGTAAATAAAAAAATTGCACTTTGTCTTCTCAACGTGAAGTTGCATAGGTTGAGATGTAATAATTCGTGTTCTCGTTACAATATCTATCTATTATAGTATTATCTAAACAATCAAAAGTAATACATTTCTGGCCTTTGGTACTTTGGAAGTGAGTTAAAAATCACATTAAGTGAAATTTTGATCAACACCATCACCAATAACGGTGACACGAAGCTCATTTTATGCCACAAAAAGCTCCACTAAATAATACAAAGCCGACTTCTGTCGTTTCGTAAAGCTCTCCTTGACTATCACAATCTCTCACTGTAGGATCTCTGATCCTGAGGTGCACAACTTAAAGCCATCTGGTTGTACAATTGAACCAACAACCTTGCGTTTGTTCAAATTCGGGAAATAAAAACTAGTTCAAGAAATACTCAAAAACTGGTTATGAAAGGCCAAAATTGCGTAAAAGTTCCAAACATATCGAATGATTGACGCATTTATTAGGAAAACCGCATGTTTGAGTCATCGCCAAGTATACCAGTTTATCCAAGAACATTACTCCATGTACTAGGATAAGTGCCCAAGAGGATCAAAACCAGGGTCTCGACAAAAGTGGAATCTAGTCTGTCGTTTCTCCATTTTCCAACCAAGCCCTCTTGTTATCCTTCCCAATTACAACCTACGTCTTATTCCGGCACATCCTGGTAGTACCCAAAATTTCACGTAACTTGTCCGGAGTTCTGCAACATCAAAATTGGAATGTGGCATATTGTGTATCTCAGTGTTATTTTTAGTTATTAATAGAATACTACATTTACACTCTATTGTTACTCAATTTAGGTTATAAGTATTGTTTTCTTATCGAATTGACATCCCATTCTGATATGACGGTTGCGTTTATGACTATTGCAGATTCAAAGTATACTAGATTAGGCCATCTCCAATCAGCCCTCTATTTTTTCGGACACGATTATGGTATAATGTTCTATTTTGTGCTTGGGCCAATTTAAAATAAATACTTCAATAATAAACTAAGAAATTAAAATTATATAATATAGAAACAAAAAAGTACATGTTCAAACTCATATGAAAAAACAATATGACAATTACAAATATTTAGGAAAGAAACACTGATAAAGTTGATATAAAAAAAACTTCCTCTTTCTCACTAGGGTAGAGAGAGAGAAAGCGCTCTCTCCTTTGAGGGGATTTTTACCCTGAGCTTTTAACAGTACCCCAAATTAATTCACCCTTCCTTCAAACTCAACAAGGATTTCTGGAAATTAAAAATCAAAATTAAATTCCTCTTCCAAAGCGTTTTTTGCATCTTCTAAATTCAATTTGCAAACTATACTTGGGCAGAAAGTTTACTTTTCTTGGGACAACTAAGCAGACTGCTACTTGTCTGATTTTAGTGGGCCTGTTTATACATTTGGCAAGTATGCAAGTGGCTTCAATCATACTGCTGTTGAACTTGGGTTTCTAAACATAAAATAAACTCTAGCCTATAGCAGCCTATGATCAACCTCCCATTATTTCACCTTTGCTTCCGTTTAGAAAACCCTCCCACCATTAAACACCAATCTTAAGCTCATCCTTGAGCAGAAATTCACTTTATCAAGAAAACAAATTGATCATTGCATGTTGAGCATTGTAGTGTATGTTTAGACATTTGTCAAGCATGTAGGAATCTTCTTATATAAACTATTGAACCAAATTTGAATATTAGTTTTTTAGCAGCCAGGGTGCATGAGTATCAACAAATAAAAAGCTGCACAAGCCTTTACTGCAGAAAACTGCTGCACTATATACAAAGTTGTTTCCATATCTGTGCCAAAAGGCACATTTTCATTAATTATAAACATTCTTTGTTCTGTCTCTTACTGCCTTTGGCTTTATTATACCTGCCAAAACCACCACACAAATATACAAGACTAGCCACAAATTCATAGTCCACTGAAACCTTCTAGTTATTAGCTTTACAACATACTAAATTCCAAATTACAGTTATTGCTACAGAAACTAAGCAAGTATAATTGTTTTGGGGTTTTAATTTTCTGATCATACCAAAATATGGCTGCTCTACTGCCAGAAGATCAGAGATCTGAAAGCGTTTATTCAGGTCAGGGGCCAGCCTTTTCAGAAGAAGCCAGAGACTACAGGGCTAATCAGGACATACATCCACACCATGTTCCTAGACCCAACAGAAGGGAAAAAGTGATCAAAATTCCAGATTATGCAACGGCCCAAAGCAGGGAAAAGCAGCCCCTTTGTCTATTAGCCCACTTTCTGGATGACAGAAATTTTAACAAGCATCACATGCAACATTTCCTTACTGTGAATTGGGGTCTCTATGCCCAGATTATCCACTATGACTGAAATTTCTATGTAATTCAATTTTTAAACAAAGAAGAGATGCTGCTGGTGCTTCACAATGGCCCTTATGCGATTGATGGTGGTCTCCTGCTGGTACGTCGATGGAATTCTCAATTTTCCATCAACAATCTCAGAGTTACTAAACTCTCCATCTGGTCCAGACTTCATCACGTCCCTCTTGATTGCTTCAATCCCTCGGGAGAGAGGTTCCTGGCAGAACAAATGGGTGAAGTAGAAAAAGTAATGGATGATGCAGAGTCTTTATCTATGACAACATATATACGAGCAAAAATCTGGATTAAGCCACATGAACCTCTCAATCCAGGCTTTTATGTAACATTGGACTTAGAGTAGGAAACCAGGTTAGACTACCGCTATGAAAGAATGCATAAGTTTTGTCTCAGATGTGGCTAGCTCGCTCACCCACTCACAAGGTGTCTCCATCTTAGTGATGCTCAATTAGAATCCTACCTTGATGAGTACTTCTTTGATGAATCTGCTAGAGACAACGCTCACTGGTGAAGGACAACATGAAAAAACTTTTTTCTAAATCAATGAGGGCTCATGGTCATAAAAATCATAAGCGAACCCCCATCATCACAGAGACGTTTGTGGATAGTCAAAGGAACTATTTCGCCACTGTTGATGAAAATACCATTAAAAATGGTTTTGAAATTACAATGAGAGTCGAGCATGGTTTCGAACAGGTACAGCCCCCAAACCCTGATTTAAATGATGAGATGCAGGAGGAAGACCCGAATGATCAAATGGATGATGACAATCAAGGAGATGAAGCTCCCAGGCAACTTGAACCTAACGGATTTTACCCATCTGAAAATGGTTTTCATATCCCAGAAGTTCCCCGCTCCCCTTCGGATAATGGAGGCGAAAATCAGCTAGCAGAACCCGAGTATCATGGAGGTCTTCCAAATGGAGGAGGCCCAGCACTTATGGATGTTGGCCACAGTAACCTGCCGGGGGATCTATTTACTGTCTACCAGCTAGCAACAGCCTCCTTCAACCATGGCTACCCCGTTGGTCCCGAAGGAACATCTGGCCAAGTCAATCACAATAAGCATGAATCACCCTGTGATGTGCATGTCGGAGTTAATGAGGAAGGACATCTGACCTTCACATCGACTGAAGAACTGCTTAAGCACACAGAGGTGGTAAATACTCTTTTGCAGGATGGTTCGCAAAACCTTCCAAATGAAGGTAGTACATCTCAGCAACGGGAAGAGGCAGCTAAAACAAGCCAGCCGAATCACATGGTGAATCTTGTGGAACTGTCCCCAATCCTAACAGAAAAGGAACATCTCTCTTCACAACCTCTCCAGGTGGCAACAAAACCAGGAGGGGACTTACATGAGGTTCATCAATTGACCAAAGAATATGTGGAGTGGCTAAAACTACAGGATGTGGAAGTTGATCGGTTGGCACGAAATGACATGGTTTGGGAATGGCAACAACGAAAGGTCAACAAACTCAAGAAGGGGTCCTTTTGTTTCCAAAAACCCACTTATGAGGAAGATAAAACCGACAATTTTTCTATCAACTCGAGCAGCTTCCCGATCCAGCTTAACCCGTATCAGGTATCTACTTCAGCCTTGTTTGAGCTACTCTCTGATGCTGAAAGTGATTCTGGCAGGCTGAGGCAGACGGATAAAATCAAGAAAAAGAGAACTCAAAGGACTCGGAAAACAAGTCACAACTGGGGTAACAGTCATCGCAGAATCATACGAAAAGTCTCTACCTGGACTGATGCACCTGCCCTATTTACTCAGACAGACACAACCATTTTCTGGTCAGTGTCTGATGGAAGGATGATTGGCCACAAGAGGAACATACCAGATACGCCTATGACTATTCCTAAGGGCAAGAAGCTGAAACTGAAGCTTAAACCATATCCACCACCAACACTACCAGCAATCAAGAAAGGAGCAGAGAAGGTTTTCCCAGTGATTGAACCAAATCAATCGCTGCAATCTCAATGAGATTCCTCTGTTGGAACTGTAGGGGCTTGCGAAAGACCCCTACTTCTCAAACTTTGGCGCGACTACTCAAACAATATCGTCTTCAGGTGCTGTTTCTTATGGAAACACTTGCAAAGGAAGATAAAGTGCGGCAGTGGCAACAAAGTACTAGCTTTATGAATTCTACTATAATTAATCCTGGTGGTAGAATTGGAGGTTTAGGTTTATTTTGGTGTAATAGTATTAAGGTGTCTATCTTAAGTAGTCGCTCTAATTTTATTATCGCTAAGTTTGTCGAACCTTGGGGATTAGAATGGTTAGGCATCTTTTTGTATGGACATTCCCATAGACAAGGTCGACCTTTTGTATGGCAGCAATTAAGTATGGCTCTAGCCAATTTGCAGTACCCTAGCATTCTAGTAGGGGATTTCAACCAAGTTCTAAGTCGGGAAGATAAGTGGGGAGGGCGAGTTGTTACAAATAATGAGCGAAATATGCTCATGGATATAATCAAGAAGCACTCTATGTCAGAATTGAAACGCCTTGGGTGTTAGTATATATGGTCCAACAACCGCAAAGGGGGCGAGGAAATTTATGAGAGGTTGGACAGGGCATTCGTCAATAAAGACTGGATACAGCACTTTCATAAGGCTCATCTACGCAATCTACCTATCATGCGATCAGATAATGGGCCAATTTTACTAGAACTTAAGGGTAGCCCATCTCGAACTAAGAGGCAGATTAAATTTGAATCTTTCTGGGTTAAATGCAAGCAGGTACCGGAGATCATAGGCAAAGAGGCAGTGGTACATCAGTCTGCTGACCATGAGCCTACGACCAATCTTTCAACATGCTTGGAAAACTGTCTTACTAAAGCCAGTGAGTGGAGTCAGCAGAGGTTTGGTGGTTTAGACAAAAGAGTTAAGGAGCTAATGGCAACACTCCAACACAATCAGGTTAAATGGGAATATGACCTACAGAATCCGGTTTCGCAGCAAGCATTAAATGACTCCAAATTAGAGTTAGAGGAAACATTACAGCTACAATAGGATTATTGGATTCAGCGTGCAAAGATTAATTGGCCTCTACAAGGAGATATTAATACCAAATTTTTTCATAAATAGGCTACCCGAAACAGAGGAAATAAGTGGATCACAGAATTACAAAATGAGCAGGATGAATGGCAATATGATCCCCTGATCATAAATGAAATCATTCAAAGACATTTCCAACATATCTACATTGATCTGGATCCTTTTCCACATTATGATGAAGTTCTGACAACAAATTTGCAAGAAGTATTGTCTCGTATTCAAAGAGAGCTCACTTCGGAACAAGTACAATATCTCAGCCAACCTTTCCACAGTGATGAAGTCCTAGCAGCAATAAAAGCTATGCCCCTCCTGGAAATCGCCGGGTCCTGACAATGTCCCTGTAAGATTTTACCAAAAATACTGGCAGTAAGTCAAAGGTCTGGTCACATCAAGTGTTCTAAAATCATGTCAACAACAATGCATAGATGATGAATGGAACCAAACTAATCTAGTTCTCATCCCCAAAGTCCAAATCCCAAAGAAAGCCTCAGATTTCCGTCCTATAGGCCTTTGCAATGTGAAATACAAAATCATTGCAAAAATGATCACGACAAGACTCAAGCTTGTGATGGATTCCTTGATAGATGAACAGCAAAATGGATTCGTGCCTGGAAGAAATATTAGTGAAAGCATCCTAATTGCACACGAACTTATTCAGCATATCAAGAACAGAAAAGGGTGTATTGGAATGGCTGTGGTAAAACTCGATATGACCAAGGCCTATGACAAAGTGTCTTGGGATTTTTTGCAAGCAATGCTAATCCGATTACATTTTCCTCCATCTTTAATTATCCTTATTATGAGCTGTATAACTACAGTCTCCTACTCTATTCTGTTTAATGGAGAGAGTTCAAGGAAATTTTGTCCAAGACGTGGATTGAGACAAGGTTGCCCGATGTCCCCTTATCTGTTTATTCTCTGTCAGCAAGTTCTGTCAGCAACCATCCACCATGAGGTGACAACCATTAGGGGCTTGGGTATTAGATTGGACAGGTATACACTGAAAATAAACCATCTGATGTATGCGGATGATACTATTTTCTTTTTAGAAGTGGAGGATGATGCAATCAAGGGACTAAACAGAGCTATTCAAACATATTCAAAGCTTTCTGGACAGAGGGTCAATTTTCAGAAGTCTAGTATTTTACTCAGTCCGAATACCCCCCCCCCCCCAACTGGGAACGATATTTCCACCAATTCCTGAATATCCCACAAGGGGCTTCCTTTGGAAAATATCTGGGAATCGACCTCAACTTTGCACAGACAAAAAAGAAGATATTTGACCATTTTGAAAAGAAAATTCGAGCCAAATTTTCAGACTGGAAGACAAGATCGCTTTCAGTCATGGGTAGAATCACGTTAGCAAAGACTACACTTTCCTCCATGATGACGTACCCTATGGGAGTGTTCAAGTTACCCAGTCTCAACACTCACAAAGGTGGATCAAATAATTACCCATTTCATATGGAAAGGAGACAAGGAGGAGAGGGGAATTCACTGGAAAGCTTAGCATAAATTATGTTATTCTAAACTGCATGGAGGCTTAGGTTTGAGATCAGCCAAAGAATTCAATCAAGCGATGTTGGCTAAACATGCTTGGAAAGCAGTCACTCAACCAAATTCCTTGATTGCTCAGATCTATGAGGGGAAATACTACCATGATAAGTCTCTCCTACATCTAGGTAAGGTGAATAATACAACATGGGGCTTCAAAGGGGTCCTTTGGGGGGCAGAGCTACTACGGTCACGGACAAAATGGCAGGTTATCTCAGGAAAAAGCATAAAAATCCATGAGAATTGGATTCCAAATCAGGTAAACCCAATCCATTCAGATTCAATACTAGCCACTCATGCAAATTACAGAGTTAAAGATCTCCTGTCTACAAGTGGACAATGGAAGCTAGACATGTTGCGAAAAAATTTATCAGACGATATCATACACCAAATTCAAGGTATCTACATCAATCCTCAGCTAGCAGACCAAGATGACAAGATCATTTGGCAAGCAAATCCAAATGGATAGTATACAGTTAACTCAAGATACTACCAAGCTATGAATATCGCAGGCAAAAATCCTCCTGATGTCGCAGTATCTACTCGAAATATGTGGCAACAATTGTGGAAATTGCAAGCTCCTGCTAAATATAAGTTACTGACCTGGAGAGCTTTGACGGCGGTGCTTCCAACGTTGATTGATCTGAATAAACGAGGGGTTGATCTTTCTCCGATTTGTGCACGATGCCAACAGATGGAGGAAGACACGGATCATCTCTTCCTCGGGTGCGAATGGTCACTCCAGATCTGGAAATTGTCTTCATTAAGGAGCCACTTTGACTCCAACCCTCCAATCTTGTTTCGATCTTGGATTGAAAACTGGCTGGCAACACCACTGATGGAGGATAGTTGGTCTCTGGTAGTCCATCTTGTTTGGTGGATTTGGATCTCGCGAAATCAGAAAGTCTAGGAAGGAAAGCAACTTGATCTCAATCTAGTCTGGAAGTTGGCGTTTGAGGATTTCCAAATAAACAAAAAAAATTTCGACAAGGCTAGACAGAAGGAGATGAATTTGGAAACTGAAGAAGTCAACGTTACCTCAGTTACTTTGAGTGGGTGGAATTTACTAGGATGACAAGCATTAATTACCTTTGATGGATCCTACCGACAGTCAACAGGACGTGCAAGTGCTGCTTGGAATATAAAATCCTCAACAGGGTCAATTTTACAAATAAAAGCGGTCCAAATACAGGCTTTATCGGCCTCACAAGCTGAAGCGCGGGCGTGTAAATTGGCCCTCGAAGTTGCATTACAATTGGGTCTTATGAATGTTACGGTATATACAGACTGTAGTGCTTTAGAAGCGCAATGTTTGCGTGAATTAGATTTCCCCGTAGAAGCTCAGATTCTAATAGGTGAAATTATTCAGCTAAAGCATAAGTTTGTTAGGTGTTCTTTAATTAAAGTAGATAGATGTCAAGTAGAAGAGGTACATAGGCTTTCCTATTACCAAACAATATGTACAAGTACCCCTCTTTAATCTTTTAATATAATAATTTAATCTTCAAAAAAAAAAATTAAAGTTGATATAAGCAACCACTCATGAACTAACTTTTATTATCAAATTGTTTTTCATTTTCCATTTGGAGATATCATTTTGAGTTCTTGTATAAAATCTTGGTTGATAATTATCCATAACTGTAGGAAATAATAACGAAAAAAAAATGGAGCATCACCATACATTTATTGGACACTGGATCTACACCATCGCCACCATCAGGAACCGAAAAAAAAATCAGGATCTGTTCTTCTTCCTTTTGAGAAATTGACCGTCACCACCATTGCATAACAATTGGATTTCGAACCCAAGAGGATAATTGGATTTCAAAAGGATGGGGAAATGGAAGTGACAGAAGATTAGATTAACATTTGGGCGGGGGAAGATTTGTGGTGAAAGAAGGGATGAAGAGCGGCCGAAAAAATTGACAGTAAAAATGGGCACAAAAAATGACATTTTAATTGGTAACATCGGTAGTAAACGTCCTTGTTTAGCCCGCCACATTACTTAGGTTACTTCTCTCAGATAATGACATATTTGGTTGGTAAAAAAAGAAAAATAACTTTATTAATTAACCATTATAGCCTTGTTTTAAATTGATGATGTTATGTTAATATATTAACCAATCAAAGGGCTCAATTTAAAATTGATGATGTCATGTGAACTAATGGGCCAATCAAAATGCTCAATTTAATTTCTGACCAATCACGTTCAATATTCTAAATTCACCAAAAGACATTTACTTACGTACAGATAGATTCAGAATGGCATGATTTTCAATTAGACTTGAATTTTTTGAAATTCTTAAGAGTGCCGCAAACACTAATTCATCATTAAATTTGGAATCCTCTCATCAATTCTTTTGCACGATTCATCTGTATTTCAATGTCTATATACTTTTAGTAATTCACTCTCAATTAGATGTATCAAAATTTACATATTTAAAAATTCAATAATATACTTTCCGCATCTAGAGGTGATATACCATTGGATGTGAGCTTTTGAACTATTTGAGACATGCAGATAACTTCCGGAATACTGTCTCAATCGATTTCCATCGTAATTTTTGACGTTCTACTAATATATCCCAATCTATAGATTTTGAGTCGTTATAAGCTGTCTCTAACTTTTAAGAATTCAAAATTGGATTTTCCAAAATGTGGATGGTCGTCTTACGTAGATGATTATTTTCCTCTGACTATATTCAAACGATCGTGCATCAACCATCTTTTCTTTTAATTAAAAAAAAGAAGAAATAATCTTTATGAGTTAAATTGTTTGAGTGATTGGTGTAAGAAGAATTAGCATAATTCATGCATATTTATAGAATCTTTAAAAAAAACTCAATTTCGACCCTTGGTTTGAATTTTATCGTAATATTCGCCGTTGGATTGGTTTCTACATGTCTCCTTTATCCGATTCTTGTCAAATCTTATCAGATTGTCCAGCATTATATTAATCTTTGGCATCATTGTAACCATCCGATTAGATTTCGAATTCATCTAAAGCTTTAGCATCATCATGAATATAACACATGACTTTTTCTTAATGCTATTTTGTTAGGTTTAGCCGCAAATATAAAATAAAGTTGTCGAATTATAAAATTTTAACACACTTAAAATAAATACATATAAACTAAAAACACAATACATTTCAACTCACTTAAAATAAATACTACAATAATAGAGTACAAAATGAAAATACAAAACATACAGGTTCAAACTCACATAAACAACCCTACAACAACTATACTTATCTTGGACATAAACACTAAATAAGGTTGATAAAGTCAACCATTCTAAATCTAATAATCATTATAATTCTAACTATACTAATCACCCAAATTCTCCCCGGCATGCCCAATCTCGTCGAGAAATCTAAATAGTCTAATGTTAGATGATGATGGCGCTTGAGATGGTCGTTCAAAAAAAGTTAGTCTTTATAAAATTTACAGTTCTTTGTTCTCCCAATGCACACGTATCAATGAATTCAAAATAAAATTCAAATCTATCATCAAAATTCTATTCTCAACTTTCTGCAATTGAAATAATCCTTTTTAGCATTTAAAATTGGGCATTTTCGTTCATCCCTCCCTTCGTTAGCAAATCATCAATATCGTTATTTTCAGTAGTTAAATCAATCAATACCTTATCACATGTTCTTTTCTTATTTCTTATTTAACTTGGCTATATTCACTCCAATAGGCAGTTTAGAGGATGTTCCATCGCCACCACTACTACTGTCGATTAGTTAAGATAAAAAGATTACAAAATGGGAGACTTCGAAAATCGGTTGTTCATAATGCAGAATTTTCAGACTTTGATGATTCGTTGATCATAACATAATCTCGATAAATATTTCTTCGTTGGGGAGCATGTTCATCAAATTTTCCAAATTTTTGCAATACATGTCCAAACTTGACTCCTTGTTTGCATGTGCCATATAGATCAACGAATTCTTGGCCTGACACTTCTACAAAAATTTAAAATATACATACAACCATAACTTTTCATATATTTAAGATACTATCGAAATAAAATTTTTAAAAGATACTTATCCGATCTTCGACTTGTCTCATGCTAGAGTTGAGAACATTGATTTGCTTTAACATCCATTAAACTTCCAAACCGCCATTTCAATGGTATGATAGTGAGATTGAAAAAATTGTAGGGATGTCCAAACCAATTTCTGTTTTTTGTTTGCATTGTATTCATTTTCAGCATTGGAAATATTAGCCCCTTTTTACAATTTTCCTTTTCAAAATTCTAAAAATTCCGAAAGAGATGTTCAAACCAATTTATGAAGATCATGCACTCAGTTTGCTTTAACAATGCAGCCCTTTTAGTTTTATTTATTCCAAATATTATCTTTTCATTTAAATCCCAAAGACATAAAATGACACTGGCAAAAAGGGGTTACTTTTTCTCATGAAGATGTTTTTCTTGGAACAAGATTGCATTTGAATACAAAGCCAAAAAAAAAAAAAAAGAAATTGGACTAAACAATCCAAAAGATCTTGTGAATCCCGCTATCATACCATTGAAATGGCCGACCGAAAGTTCAATGGATATTTAAAATAAGTCGATCATCTTAATCCTAGTGAGACACAAGCTAAAAATTGGATAAGTCTCTTTCAAAAATCTTATTTCAATAGAATCTTAATTGTGTGAAAATGTTAGTTATATCTATACATATTTTATTTTTTGTAAATATGTTAAGCCAGAGACTCATTTGATCAAGATGGCAAATATAAACAAGGATTCAAGTTTGGCCATCTATTACAATTCTTGCAAGAGTTTTGAAAATTTGATGATCATGGTCCCCAACACAAAAATGATTCTTAGGATTATGTTATGATCAATAAATCATCAACGTCAAAAAATCTACATTATGAACAACCAACACCAAAGTCTCCACACATGGTCATTATTAGATCCTCAACTAAGCAACAATGGTAGTGCTGATGAAACACCCACTAATTAAATGTCCTATTGGAGTGAAGAAAGCTGTATTGAAAAAGAAATCCAAAGAACATATAAATAAGGTATTGATCCATTTAACTAGTAAAATTGAAGCTATTGTTGATTTGCTAACGAATATGAAAGGACACAAAATGCTCAATTTAAAATGCAAAAAGAATTATTTCAATTGTAGAAAGATAAGAAATTTAACGCTGGATTTGAATTATATTTTGAATTCATTGACACGTGCACATTGGGAGAACAAACAACAATCAATTACAAAAAAAAAAAAAAAGAAATTTTTCCAACAACCATTTCAAGCGTTGTCATCATCTAATATGGCACAATTTGATTTCGACACGATATCAGGGATATTGGAGAGAATTTAGATGATTGTTATAGTAATAATGGTAATGATAGCTAAATTAAGAAGGATTGACTTTATCAACCTTATTTAGTGTTTATTTTTAAATAAGTAACTCCTCTGTCTAGAACTGATTGTCCAATTTGAATATTTATTATTAGTACAACTATTGTAGCATTTATACAATCATTTTGGGACAGATGGAGTATAATTGTTATAATGTTTATTTTTACGAGTTTAAACATGTATTTTCCATATTTCCGTATTATGTTTTTTTCATTTTGTTGCCTATCATTGTGGAATTTATTTTAAGTGAGTTGAAACATATTATGTTTTAGTCTATTAGCATTTATTTTAGTGTTCTAAAATTTTATATTTGGACAAATTTATTTTTATATTTGTAGGTTAAACCTAACAAAATTAAATGAAAATAATTTTAAAAAACTTCACGAATTATTCTCATCATGTTACCAAAGCTTTAGATGAATTTGAAATCTATTGGATGGTTACGATAATAGCAAAGACTAATATAATGGTAAAAACTTAAATAAGATTTGATAAGTATCAGATATATAAGATGGTATAAAAACCAATCCAACGACCAATATTATGATGAAATTCAAACCAATGGCTAAGAATGAGACAAGTCCTTTTAAAAATTCTATAAATACACATGAAATATGCTAATACTTCTTACACCAATCACTCAAACATTTTAACTCATAAAAATTATCTTTGTTTTCTACTAAAAAAAAAGGATAATTGTTGCACGTTCGTTTAAATACAATCTATAGGAAGATGATCTCCTTTGTAAAACGATCATGTATAGTTTGAAAGATTCAATTGCGGCTATTTGAAAGCAAGTAGAGACAATATATAACAATTGAAAACCTTTAGATTGGGATAAGCGTAGTAAAAGGTCAATAAAATCACAGCGAAAATCGATCAATATAGTAGTGCTCAATTATTTGAATGCCTGAAACAAGTCGAGCACTCAAATCCATGTGGTGTGATTTGAGTTTATAAGTATATAAGTAATTTAAGTACTTTAAACATATTAAATATGAACTAAATTAATTGTAATAAGATGTAGTTTAAATTAATGGGGAATGAATATTTGAGAAGACACTTAATTACTGTATGTGGCATGAAAACATTAGACGTTCTTATAATAGCTTTATCAGCATGGTCCTAAGAGCATCTGCAGCGTGTAGCAAATCTTCATATTTGTTGCACCTTTTTGCTAAAAGGGGCTCCAACGTGGCATCAAATAAGCAAATCCAAACAGCAAATTGGTGCAACTACTACAATGGCGCACCTAATTTGCTGCGCTCTCAGTAGCAAAGCAGACACTGCACGTTCTCCCCCCCCCCTTTTTTCCTTTTTTTTGTTACTTTTATATTGATTTTTAAGCCCCTACAATTATATTTTTTGTCATTATTAATGGACTTGAAATTGTAGAAACTTAATGAATAATCTTAATTAAATTTATTGTATTATTCAAGAGCTCCAATTATTATTCAATTATTATAAGTAAATAATAAACGATGTGATATTGGAATAAAAATAAAAATTCTTGTAATCAAATAACATTAAAGTAAATAAAACACAAATATATCAATATTAGAGCAACCAAATTATCGAAAAGTAAAACAACATTCAACTAACCAAAACATACGTAAGTGCACTTATTAAGAAATTAAATAATATGCTTAACTAATAAACACGAATAAACTACGGAAAAACATCCCCAAGATTTTGCATCTCCGCCATTGTTGAATAGATCGCTAAAAGTAGTATTCGGTGGTGGTTGCATTTGCGCCAATCATTGTTGAAAAATTCGTTCTCTTTCACCAATAATAAAAGCACGATAAACAGGATCGGTAATTTTGGTCACATCTTGTGCCATAATTCTGTTTTCTTCCCTCCATTGCTTCAAAACCAACTTTTGCTTCTGTAGTGCTATTAACTCTTTTTGGTCTTCACTTGTCTTTTTTAAAACATCAAGAAATTGTTGATTCTATTCTCTATATATTTTCATCTCACGCGTAGATTGTTCATCTATTTTTCTCTTATTTTTGGCCTTTTTTTTTATACCAATAGGTCTTTTGGAAGAAGATCCGCTAGTATCACTTTTAATCACCATTTGAGAATCAAAGTTAGAAAGGATAGGAGACTTAGGTACCTGGATTTCCGGTGTTGGATTATCAGGTTCAGATGATGCAAAGCTAGAGGTTTGGTTGAATAGATGTCGTGCTTGCATGAGACCATCGTTATATTTTGTAAAATCTTTGAGCAAATTCTAGACGTGGTCGTATTTGAAGCCTTTTTCAAATCCTTTCTCAAGTACAAATAACTGTTTGGCACGACCTAACTGTTTGGAAGAGAGTTTTGGAGAAATACAATAAAGAAGCAAATCCCAAAAGGTGGGCTCAATGCAATGAAAGATCTTTGATGCTAAGATGCCAAAAGTTAGAGAGAGCCGTTAAGAAATTATGTGAATTGTATAAACAAGTGGAGGGTATACATCCTAGTTGTGCAAATGTAGAAGATTATATAAGTAACTAACTTTTTATTTGTATTTTATTTATAATTTTATATATCTTTTACCAATGGGTTCTTTCACAAGTTGTTGCTTTTGTCTTTTTTCTTTGTCATGTAAGCAAACATCCGTTTGAAATCTTTTTTTAAAAAAAGATTGTTGCCATTGTTGTTTTTTCAGCTTTGGCACACAAATTTAGATAGACATATTTGTCAAAATTATTTCTACCAATACATTGCATGCGTAGCCTATATAAAACCTATTGTCCTTTTGTGCGGATTTTCTAAGAATTTTGTTTTGTCTTCACATTGATAATGATGGCTTTGTCCCTTTGCTCTAAGTTTTAGACGTAATAGTATATGATTTCCTTATCATTATATACGCTGTTAGATTAGATTTCAATTTTATCTGAACCGTTAAATGGATTTTTCTTTATCCCAATTGCTTAAAAAAATCTCTATAAATAGCCAATAACACGAATCAAGCATCAAAGTTTCTTTTCCTTAATCCATTGATAATTTTTTTTTCTCTTTTTGTAAGACAAAACAATAAGTTATTACGAGGAAGGTTCTTCAAATATTAAACACCATCAATCATCATCATCATCATCATCAAGTGATGATGAAGCTTTAATTCAACTACAACAACTAGAACAACAGCGTCAATCAATCTACGTCATATTATGCGAAGAAATACAATGGCAATGAATTTGCAGTTCAATCGTCAACAGAAACAGGTTGCTCGAGGCGGGTCAATTCTGAGACGAATCGTGATCAACCACGACCTTGAGGGTGCACATTTGCGATTGGTAGGTGATTATTTCTCTGAAAATCCATGATACACTGACCAATAATTTCGACGACGTTTTCGTATGTCTCGAAATTTATTCCTCCGTATTGTGAATGCTCTTAAAAATCACGATCAATTTTTCGCGCAACAAACGGATGCTTTTGGTAGATTGAGATTTTCACCCTTACAGAAAGCAACTGCTGCTATCCGAATGATAGCATATGGCAATTCTGCAGATGGTTTAGACGAGTATCTTCAAATGGCTGAGTCAACTGCTATTGCTTGTTGTAAGAATTTTTGTCGTGGAATTGTTGAGACTTTTGTAGAACGGTATCTTAGATCACCAACTGCAGATGACATTGCTAGACAATTATATATTGGTGAACAACGTAGTTTTCCAGGAATGTTAGGAAGTCTAGATTGCATGCATTGGAAGTGGGAAAATTGCCCCTATGGTTGGGCCGGACAACATACAGAACGTTCTGGTAAACCAACAATCATTCTTGAGGTTATAGCTGATTATAACCTGTGGATATGACACGCTTATTTTGGTATGCCAGGTACAAATAATGATATTCATGTTTTGGAATCATCACATTTATTTTATAATCTTACTCAAGGTATTGCATCTCCGGCTAATTTTTGTATTTCATATATATATATGAAATTTTAGGGTTTTCTCATTTTTTCCCCTCTTTCTTTTTTTCCCCGTTTCTCTCGGCCGCCGCTCTTCTCTTCTTCTCGATCTCGACTTCTCTCGGCCGTCGGCGTCTTCCGACCACAAACCCACCACCAGAATCACACACACCACTTCACCACCTCCCATTTCCTTCGAGTTATCGGTCCAATCTACCACCAACACCAATAGGTCCAGATCTACAGTCTACTGATCTAGGGTTTTGTTTTCAAATCGATTTCTTTTTTTTTTTAAAGAAAAAATGATTCATCAAAGAGATGCTGCTCTAGTACTCTGAAAATCGACGGTTCAAAGCTCATATCGATTCCATTCTGATAGCTCAGATCTAGGGTTTTGACACTGACGGAGCTCCATGCTAATTTTTCTCAGGTAAGCTCAGATCTAGGGTAAAAAATCATTACTGAAAGTTGTCCTGTTGATCATTACTTTGTTTTGTTCCTTTACGAAATCATTATTGAAGTCTGATAGCATTACTTACTGATTTTTTTGTCTTTTTATACGCAGAACCAGGATTCGATTCATATTCAAGTTTGATAAGGTAAAATTTTGTCCTGTTTCTCTATTTCTTTCTGTTCGTGTCTGAAATTGTCATGTTTCTATTTGGGGTTTCTTTGTTGGATTTTGTACTGATTCTTGCTGAGCAGTTTTAGATTTGATTAAAATGTAAGTCGTTGCTGTCTTGCTGAGCATTTGTGTTTGATCTGGAAGTCTTGTGTTTGATCCATGCTATAGTTTCTATCTTGCATGTTATAGTATTGCATGTTATAGTTTCTGTCTTTATGAAATCATGTCTTACATTGATTCAACTTAGTGGCTCGTCTGCTTATATTGATACTTTGGCCCTTTGTTTTAATTCTGAAATGAATCAATGATGAAAAAGAAGAAACCAATGAAGATAGTGAACTGCATTGTGTGTCATTGTAATCATACTATTTGCAGGACTGAGAGTTAACTGCTTTTGTGTCTTTTAATAATATAGCATTACTTACTGAGTTTTCTTTTTGTGTCCTTTAATATGCAGGACCAGGATTCATATTCAAGTTTGATAAGGTAAAATTTTCACCTGTTTCAAGTTTGGAGATTTGGTTCTTTACTTCTTTTGTTGAAACTGTTGTATAGCCTTTCGTTTTGTACCCTAATTGTTGATTGTGACAGTGGTGTTGTGTGTGACTGTGTTCTGTTTGGTGCTGTAGGCTTGCATGTATTGTTTGTATGTGTTGTTTGTAATTGCTCTAGCTTGGCATTTCTTTCTACTGTTTCCAGTGTTTGTTTTGTGTCATTGTTTGAGTTGTGCAAATGACATTGTAGTTGTACTTGTGTTGCAAAGATGCAATGTTACTTCTTTAATTCTTTCATTCATTGCAAAGTTGCATGTAAGAATCATTACTAACTGTGTTTGTATTCTTCTGTTGGTCTGATTGTCTGAAGTCAGTTCTGTTGCATCAAATTTGTGACTAGTTACATATTTTGCAGAAATTTGTGACTGTAAAAATTTGTTGCTTGTTGCTTCTGTGAACTGTAACTAATATGTTTTAATTTGTGTTTTAGATGTCTGATTTTGATGAAGATTTTGATGAGCTTGAGTAGATTGAAGTGGAGGATAGTTTGGTGCCTCCTCTGCTGGATTTGCCTACTAATGACTCAGTGATGGTAGATGTCCAGATTGAGACGAAGGACCAAGACAAAAAGCCTTAAAGTCAAGGCTGTCGTGCTAAAGTCAAAAAATCTCCTAAGCGGCGCAGGGTAACTCGTAATAGGTCAGTTGTCTGGGCTGATTTCTCCAAATCTACACTGGCTAATGGTGAAGTATGGGCTACGTGTAGTTATTGTAAGACTGCCTATATGACTGATCCTAAGAAAGATGGCACAAGTAGTCTTCATAGCCATTTGGGGTCTTGTAAAGCGTATTTAACTCAGAAGCATGATTCTGGTCAGTCTAAGCTAGTTGTTGAGTCTGGGGTGGGAAAACTGGGAAATATAGGTACTTGGAAGTATGATGAAACTGAAATCATTAGGCAATGATTAGTATGATAATAGTAGATGAATTGTCTTTTAGGTTTGTTGATAAACCTGGATTTAGGTATTTTGTTAGGAAGTTGCAACCATTGTTTACTCCTAAGGGTAGACAAACTATAGCTAATGACTGTTAAAAGCTGTATTTATCTGAAAAGGCAAAATTGAAACTTGAGCTTAAGGGTCTGGGTAGTAGAATCTGCTTAACGACAGATACTTGGACGTCTGTGCAGCAGATAAATTATATGTGTCTGACTGGGCATTATGTGGATAATAAATGGGTTTTGAGAAAAAAAAATTTTAAGTTCTGTTCCCATTTCAAGTCATAGGGAGGTTGATATCGGGACTGAAATTGAAAAATGTTTGATGGAGTGGGGGATTGGAAATGAAAATATCTTTTCTATAACTGTTGATAATGCTAGTTCTAATGATGTTGCTCTGGATTATCTGAAAGAGTAGTTTGCTGTCCGGGAAAATTGTGTGTTAGGTGCAAATGGTTGCATAATCGTTTTGTAGCTCATGTGATTAATCTAGTTGTTAAGGATGGTTTGGCATATATAGGTAAATCTGTTGATAGGATTAGGGCTGCTGTTAAGTATATTCGGCAGTCTCCTAAAAGAATAGCCAGCTTTAAAAGATGTGCTGAAATTGAGAAGTGTGGTAGTTCCAAAGAATCTAGTATTAGATATTTGTACTTGATGGAACTTCACATATATTATGTTGGAAATTGCTCAAAAGTATGAAAGAGCCTCTAGGAGATTCGAAACTGGTAATCAGCACTACAAAGATGCTTTGAAATATGATCCTTTAATGCCAAATTCGGGTCCTGGACTGCCTACTGCAGTGGATTAGGTAGAAGCTAGGAAGGTAGCTGGGGTTCTTCATCATTTTTACGAGATAACCTTGAGGGTATCTCGTACCAAATTTGTCTCCTCAACTTCTTTTTCGTTGATCTTACTTGTATTGCTGTATTGCTGAAGAAAATCATCAATGAAAGTGATGATGAGGATCAAAAAGTAATGGCTGAAATGATGAAGGGAAATTTTGATAAATACTATGGTGAGATTAAGAATATAAATCTGGTTATTTTAATGACATGTGTTTTTTATCCTAGAAATAAGTTGAGGTATTTAGATGTTGTACTTGTCGATGTTTATGGCAAGTGGATGGGAAGGGTAAATTTGAAACTATTAAAAGCGCCATATATGAGTTGTTTGCGGATTATGTGAGAATCCATGCCCCTAAACCTAGTGTTAGTTCGCCTTCCTTCCAGCCTGATTCTAGTACTTCATTCTCGAAAAGGCCTTCCCCTGTTGATATTGAGCCTTCAGAAATGATTAGAGAAAGATTTAGGGTGTTGGCGCAGCAGAAAAATGAAGAAGCTGGTGGCGCTTCCCAGGTTGATTAAAGATCAGAATTGGACAAGTATTTCAGGGAGGACGATGAACCAGGTGGTCCAACTTTCGATCTGCTGAAGTGGTGGTGCGTTAATAGCCCTAGGTTTCCCATTCTTTCAGTGATGGTTCAGGATATTTTGGCCATTCTTGTCTCAACTGTGGCTTCCGAATCTTGCTTTAGTACGAGTGGGAGGGTATTGGATCCATTCCGGAGTTCTTTGACTCCAAAGACTGTTCAGTGCTTAATTTGCACTCAAGATTGGCTTCGGGGAGAAGTTGAAGAAGAAAGTGTCGAAGAAAGCTAGGAAGAACTCATACAGATTGAAGAAGGTTACATTGTTACAGTTTGTGTTTTCATTTTATTTTTCAACTGTTTGTTTTCATTTTATTGAATATTGACTGTTTGTGTTTGTTTTGGTGTTTCCTCTTTTCAGCTGTTGAGAAGGAAATGAATGCTGGTGAATCAGAGACTGTGGATTTGTCGTGATCAAGCTGTTGGGACGCTTCAATGATAGGTAAAATTTAGATGGTTGTTGACTTGAACGTAAAATTCCAAATTGCTTGTTGCATGAGTTTAGACTGTTGCCTGTTGCATGAGTTTAGACTGTTGTTTGTCACTCTGTTGCATGAGTTTCTTTATTTCTGAATTTGCTGAATTGAACGTAAAATTCCAGATTGCTAAATGTTGATTGCCTAATGCCTAATGCCTGCTGCAAGCCTGCAATGCTACCAAGTGCCAATTGAAGCGTTGAAACGTTGAAGACTGAACAATGAACCAATGAAGTTGAATTGTTGTTCTGTTCTGAACTTAAGCTTTTTCTGTAACTAGTTAATGCCTAATGGCTCATGAACTCAGTTTGGGTCCTTTGGGAGATCATTTCTGTAATTCTAGTTTAGTGGTTTGTGGTTTCTGTAATTTTTGTTTGTGGCTTCTACCTTCTGGATAATTTCTGTCCTGCTGTATTGTTGTTAAGTGTTATTGCTGTGGAGTGTGGACTTTGAAGTTTGAAACTTTAAGTCGAAACTCGAAATGTCGAAATGTCAAAAATTTAGGTTTGAAACTTGGTCTATTTCTGTATTTTGTGTTACTGTGATAATGTGATCAGTGATTTCACTGATTAGCATTTGTTTGTGTCATTTTCAGAATTTCTATGTGACCGAAAACTGAAAAGTGATAATCTTGTAAATGGCCTAATTGGCCTATTTCTAGTTAACCGATCCCCGACCAAAAAAACCGATTGTTTATTCGGTTCAGTTCGGTTGGGGGATTAATAAACTTCAGTCGGTTTTCGGTCGGATTTAGGAAATAAAAAAAATCGATTAACCCGAACCGATTAACGGTCGAACCGACCGAACCGACCGAATTAGCAATCCTAATAAATTTTATTTTTTGTTCTTAATCGATCAACATAAATATTATAATTTATTACTCAATTGATATTAAAATAATTATTTTCATATTAAATAGATTTGAGATTCCAAAATGTATATATATATATATATATAATTATTTTGATTAATGTATAATACAAAGAATCTAAGTGGGTTCTTTTGTAAATTAGAAAAGAATGATAGGAAAAGAGAATATATAAGGAATATTCTATTTTATATAAATTAGTATTGTGAGTTGAGAAGATAACACTGTAGGAGCAAAACAACAAATTTGATTATTTGGTGTGCAGCAAAAAAGTGCAACGCTGCAGACACTCTAACTACCCGTAATTTCTATTTCTAGGACTACAAGATTACAAGTCAAAAATAGAATAAATCGAAACTTAAAAGAACACACACAATCAAAAGTAAAATTTCCAAAAAGGGGGGGAAAAAACAAAGAAAATGAAAGGATTTTCACCTGTACTTAAGACATCTCTCAATCTCAATGCTCACAAATCGACATCAAACAACTGTGCTTCGTTCCCAGAAGACATGGAGAGAGGAGCCTCTTGAAGAATGTGAAAAAATTTGGTGTTTGAAATTGAACCCAGAAAGGAAAAAAATCAAATCGAATCAAAGCTTGGGAAACAAAGTTCCAGTTCCTCAGATTTCTCAGATCATAACTTGAAGAAATCTGTCGAGTTTTAAGCTGGCTGAAAAAATTGGCTTGAGCTAGCGGATAGAAGTCTTTTCGCTGACCAAGAAGAAGAAATAAACCTTCATTTATCGACTTAGCTGGGCGTTATCCAAACGGTTGGGGTTATTTTGAGATTTCTGTATTGTGAGGGGAGTTAATTGTAATTTCAGTTTTTCTGTCCTTAAACCCAAAACCCCACATTTGCCCATTTGATTGATTCTCGGCGGTCTTCTCACTCTGCCGTAGGCCGCCGTACAACGCCGCTATTTGATGAGAAAAGGGCAATCTCAAATCTCGATTCACAGCTTTCAGCTCTGATGGCGATTGCCTAAGGTAAATTGACTGATTCCGATGATTATGTCTTTTTTTTTTTACGCAGAGTTTCAGTTTGGATGATTTATGTCCCTGGCTTTTCTAGGGGTACTTGCTATGTTTTCTGTGTTTCCTTCTCTGAATTTATATAATGGCAGGACTAAAATAAGAAGCAGCAAAAGAATGCATTTCACTAGATGGCAATCTACATCGGTCAGACTTAACTCTTGGTTGTATTGGCGTCATAATCTTTTCAATGGGCTCTGTTCTTATTATTATTCAACTAGTTTAAGTCTGACAACTACCTTGTTTAATAACTACGTTGACAAAACAAATGTGTACTCTTGGAATTCAATTATCAATGATTTGGCGCGCGGCGGTGATTCCTTTGAAGCCCTCAGGGCATTTTTATCCATGCGCAAGCTCTCTCTCAAGCCAAACCGTTCAACTTTCCCTTGTACCATCAAGTCATGTTCTGCATTATGTGATATTATGTCTGGTAAACAAGCCCATCAGCAAGCAATTGTGTTTGGGTATGACTCTGACCTCTTTGTGTCTTCTGCTTTGATCGATATGTATG